TGAAAGTTTTCGAAGTTTAGATTGAGGTTTTCAAAATGGAAAGGAGCGGGGATCGGGGGAGACAGAGCCTTATTTCAGAATCCTCATCTGAAAGCCCAAGCAACGTCGCTCAGAGAGCCGTGATAATCCAGAGCATTGCACAGATCATGAAATTATGAAGAAGTTTCCTACTTGCCTTCCGGCCGTTAGCCATGAGTTTGGCCATTAGGTTTGGAAGATCCAGGCGACTGGCTTTCTGAAGTGTCTCGAAGGCTCATACCGAAGACGTCTACGCAAAGTCTTGGAAGATGGAGAACTCACGAGCTAATATAGCGAGATAAGCGAGGAAGAAAGATTCTTACGCCTTTGCATTTCTTGATGGTGCGCCTCACACAAGTCGCCAGACAGGCGGTTTGAGGTACTCCCAAACGGACGAGCGGAGAAGATCAACATGCCATATCGAAGCGCTCGAGACGATGGCTTTATATCATCAATCATATCTTGCTACATCGACAAGAGCTGACATTTGTGGTAGACAACATGTAACTGTTCACGCGTAGGCAAAGGCCTTGTAGCCGGCACCTTACTTGTCATGATGTATTCTCATACTGATATCTCGCATATCACATTCGTCTTCCAGATATGATCGACTTTATCCTGTATTGTCTACCTCTTCACCGGCGGACGAATCACTCTGTCAGTTTGAGAGGCATCTCCATATCTGTGTCACATCCACAATCACAAGCTCAATATATACCTTAATGGCGCTTATCATGAACAGTATCGAGGCTTCGGATGTTGTGCTCGCAACTTCCTCATTGCTAGTCTGCAGTCCTACATGCCACCCATATATAGCGGGCAAAAAACCAGTCAGTGGCTACCTTGTACGGGGTATGACAACTTACCACAGGTCTGCAGTGCTTTGAATAATAATATCGAGCGAGTTAGCACCGTCAAGCGCCACATTCATATATATCCAGTAGTAGCCTGGGAGGAGAACACCGCTTCAATCACCCAGCTTTCCTTGGATATACTACCCATTACGTCGCCGATATCTGTCTATAACGCTTACAGGGATTCTACTACGAGACTGTGAGATTGCTGATAGCCTCGTGTATGTCACTATGGTTGTTCTGGAGTCTTGCGTGGCCGTTTACACTCTAACTCAACTCTATGTTATCAACCCAGATACGATCATAGCTACAGAGTAGTCTCAAGAGGATTCAGGAGAACGGCGGATTCCCATAGCGCCAGTCTTTTAACCTCAACTTCTTTCTATCTTCTGAACCTGCTTCTCTGCCTTGTTTTAGCACCCACAAAGGAGTATCAATTGACCGTAATGTACAACTTGTCAACCTTGCCGACAGTTACAGGCTCCTGGCACTCATTTTCGTGACCAGCGTTATCCAGTCTAAACTCCTTTGAAACGTTCTGAACCAGCTCATTAGGAGCCATCATGACCCTGACATCCCCGGACAGACAAGATGGGATGCAAAACCAGAAGCGATTTGGCAAGCTAGTAAATGATCACTACCATGCCGCTGCTTGGATCAAGGCAAGGAGATAGAAGCATCACTATAAGAATGCCATCATAGTATGAGGGGTAACACGCGACGCCGCGAGCGAGCGAATTGCAATAACCGGCCCAGCGGTGATCGTGTTTGATGAGAGGCGTTATCGGCAACTTGACCAAGGCAAGACAAGCGTTTGATAAGGATGATGATGGACGAGGATATGAGCAGCCGCAAGATACATGAGACGCATATGCCGCTGCTGCTTCTGCTCGTGCTTCTACATATCAGGCCGGTGTGACCCTGCTGTCTCTCCAGGCTGTACCATTGCCAACGCTTCACGCGGTGCAGCAGTGCAGACGAGACAGGCATTATGCAAAGACGTTGAGGAGATTGCATCCTGCAGCCACCGGCGTGCGTATTCACGTATCATACCTAGTAGAACTCGGGAATCTTGGCCCGAGGCATGCATGAAGAGATGAGCACGAGACGCGCTTCTTTCTTCTTCTATTCCTCAAACGGGCGGCGACGTGATACGGCATGGTCTACTACAGTTCTGCAGATACTGGTACATGTACACCGAAGCGAATCGAGTCGATACAAGATAGAGAACCATACACGCCCACCCCCTCGACGCGGTTTGAACGCGGGTGAAAGTGGCATCTAGATACGGCCGCGTCTAATTTCGCGGCCGCGCGTTGGACGTGACGTTTGGTCGTTTACGGTTCCTGTGCCGTAGGATTACTGCCTGCCGAGATTGTCAAGTGTGATGAGATGGGCGGGACCTTGCATGACGATGTACGAACTCATTTACGGGGAGGACATGATGCGGCGTGTGAGTGTCCCGCCGGTTATCTGTCAAGGCAATCTGAACGACATTATCAGAACTGTGAAATTAGACACACTTCTAGGCCGGGTGGATTCTAATCTCCTGATCTTCATTCGACCACTCGTGGATTGCGATAGAGAAAGAAATGAGGAAACGTGATATTGGAAGTTGGAAGGCTTGCACCCTCCACCTAGCGTTATCACAAGCTCACGATAGCCAAGTCCGAATACTAGAACAGAAGCATCGCGAGTTTGGGGCACAAGAAAAGCCTGCAAAGGCTTTGGGCGCGAGAACCGCAAACTCGCCCCGGTTCCTTGGTCTCGGTCTTTCTGGGCCGCCGCCACGATCCCGTCGCTTATCTCTGCGGCGGCCTTCCGTGGCCTGCGGGCTACGGGATAACATCGCGCTATTGAAATCCTTTTCTTGCGCGCACGGACTTGAACGTGACCGTCGTTGCATTTTTTGTTCAAGTAGTTGTGATGGCGGCATTTGGGGAAGGATCACGAAACTGTTCTTGGTTGTGGTAGAGAGAAGCAGGAAATGTGTTTATACCGATTTTCATGGAACTATGCGGCGAAATTTTGGGGCCGCAAAAATGACTTGACCGTTGGAAAAACATGGTTCAGCCTTTGGAGGAATCCGGGGCAATGGGTACAGTATTGCCGGGTTCAAGGTTTCCAGGACGCCGGGTCGGCTGGACTTTCATGTTTTTCTTTGCGAGTCAGGTCTCCGGGTTGCCTCCCCCATTCTGATTTGGATGGAATAGAGTTTGTGGGTTAATTACCTCAAAGGTGTACGCAGTATGGAGTAGGTAATCAAATTGGACATTGTTTGGACGACGGGCCATGTCATCCTGCTTGCGAACTGTCATACTGAAAGCAGCATTGGTACATTCTTGGACGAACGGGACGGCAGGGGTATTCTGTAAGTGCTACGACTTGTATTAGTGAAGTTGACTCGATGACATGTCCACCGATCCCGATCTGCTCGCGACCGCGGCTGCCCGTGAGAGAAGGATGAAGAGAGTTAGAGAGAAGTCAGGCGCCCAAGAGGAACCGCATTGGAACTTCCCTTCCGAAGAGAGGGCCGTCGTGGCGGAGGGCACGGGCTGGTGGGAGCGGGTTGGTCGGGTCCGGTGTTGGTTTGGCATGGAGCGAGGCCAAAGTTTTGCGTTGTGAGAGGTTGGTCTCCTTACATCTGTAGGTAAAGCAAGGCTTGTGTTTCCCCTCGACTCTAGCGATTGCATCCGGAGTGCTTTCCATTCAGTAGCCGACTGGAGGCTTCGGAATGTGTTGTGGGAGTTTCTCCAACGTGTTCGCGGGGAAGCACGGCAGCGCGACTGAGCCGCCTCTTGAAGTGCCGGGTAAGTTTACTCTGAAGAGGGACGGATTCGGTCTCGTCAAAAAAATTGGGGCCCGGGGTGGGATTACTGGCCCAGAAGACACAAGAATGGCATTCAACACATCAAACGGCATTCAGACAAGCTCATGGGTCACTATCCATTTGCGGTTCATCAATTTTCTATGTGCCAATGCTGACAGCGTGCCGTTGCCGAAAGCAGGCGGACCGGTGGATGATGGTGTCCTTGGCCGACGAAATCGATGTGGTTCTCGACTTGCGGCGCGGGTGGTGTGAGTGTACTTACTCACGCTTATGATGGGCTTGTGTGGTATGGCTACAGCCAAGCATCGACAGAGTCTTGGGGCTTTGCCTCTTTGTACATCCAATTCGATGGACCATTGTTGACGGCTTGGATATGTTTCTAGGCGAGTTTAGAGAACGACAGGTAGGCGCGCAAATCCGGGGGCGTTCTTCACTCTTTGCATTCCTCAATGGGTTCTACACCATGTGGAAGCGTTGCTTTGTGGAAGAGAGACACCGAAAGAAATGGGAACATGCGGAGAGAGAGGTGCAAAGCCACGCGGCGTGCGTCTGGGGTGGTAGTGGTCGCGCCACGACGCCACAACGCCGTCCCCGCTGCGAACCTACGGGCTGCGAACTGCTGGTGCCAGCGTGATCGTGGCTTCGTGGCTGCGTGGCTGCATGAGGTGCGCCCGGGAGGTGTGTTGGCTGGCTGGCTTAATTCTCTCGACTCGAGTCTGAGGGGTGGTATTGGGGTCGTTGGTTGGATCACGAGGGGGGTAGTCTAAACGAGATCAAGTTTTCTTTGCCATTATGGTTACCTTATGTTTAGGTCCGGCTTACATGGGTGGTTGCAGAAGAAAAATGCATCCGAGTGTCAGCGTTCGAAACTTTCTGCGATTTGGATTTCCCGCTAGGTAGGTTTTGACGGTCTTGGTTGCCTGTACGAGAATGGGAAGATCGAGATCTGGGTTCACGATTGTTGCGGTGAGCTGTCCGCGGTGAGCACGGCCGAGATATCGTACCCCGGTTGGGCGCAAAGACGAAGGCAACTCGCAAGACGGGAGGCCGGAATCGGCGCTACTGTAAATGGTGTCTTGGGACTAACCGTCGCTATTGTCAACTCCAAGTCTCCAACAGGATGGGAAACGGACAACGCTACCCTATAATCTGGAGACTTCAATGCAGGATGACGATTTGTCCAGCGTAGACGGGCATGGGACTAAGGAAAACGCTCAGACGGACGGAACGGGGGGCGGGTATGCGGTTCGGACGTGCCTTTTGCCCACTTGAGCATCTGTTGCCTTAGTTTAGCATGTTTAGCTCCTCCTCTCCCCCCTTGCCATGCCTTTTTTTTCGGCCTTCGGCACCGGAGGATATTTTCCCTCATGTCGGGTTTTGTCTGCACTTGCTGGGAACTTGGGAGCTGGGAAAGTGGGAAGTGGACGATTCTCACAGGCATAGAATTGGGGGCCTGGAGACCCTAGGTTCTCCCGCTCCTTGGTGTGTCGTGAGGTTTCGGGAACTTGATATGTGGGTTTCAGGGCGTCTCTCGGATTCTGCGGAGGAAGAGACGCATCATGCGGATGCTCTGGATGGATCATGGACATGTGGTGACGGGCGAGTGAGACCCAATTACAAGCGTATGATATCCGCTATTCCTTGGGGAACTCTCGGCTACCGGGACTTGGGAAGCTTGGGGGGACTCGTCTGGAGCCCTCTGAGTCCCATCTTTTGCTCTTCATGCCCGTTGCCGTGATGTAGGCCAAGGTTTCCGGAGGCCTGGGAGACGTGCTGCTCCGGAGCAACCAGCCGGCTCGGCTTCTCCTGGCGATTCTGCGACCTTTTTGCTTTACCCAGATGCCGCACGCACGCACGCACGCACGCCAGAGTGAACAGCCGAGACATTCGAGTGCCCAGCGACGAAAAGGAAGATGGAGCGCTTGGTCGTCAAACGTGGACTCACTTGGGTCCGCATGCGTAGTTCAGCCCATGCCTCCCAGCCCCAGACCGCCGTTAGCAGTGGACGTTCAAGTAGGTAATCGAACGGAAGGGGGTGTTCTAAAAGCCTGAATTTCAGAGTTTCCGGACAGCAAACATGTGGCGTCGGCCGTCCGCTCTTGGGGATGAGATGGCAGGCCGGAGACTAAGGAAGTAAGCGCAAGCGCGGGGGCTACCGCTACGTTGTGACATTGACCGACCATCGCCTATTGGGGGCTATTTTCTTGCGATAAGGAAGATGAGATCAAGATTGATGATTTGCTCGAAGGCTTTGCATCGCTTCAAACTCTGGGAGGGTTCATTTCCCTGAACTGACGCCGGTCTCGGTGTAATTCTTTCTCGCTGATAAGTCCGTTGCATTGCGTCTCATCTCATGCGAACTACGGATACAGTGATACAGTATCTATGTACTATCTAGGCTCGCTCACTCACTCACTCAATCAGACAATCAATCACATCCCTGGCTGCTAGCTCACCTGTCATATTTGCGATCATCAGCCACGATATCGAGGGTACAGATAACACGAAGCCACTTTTCTCTCTCTCATCCTTCGACGTGGATGGGTGTAGTATTCGTCTTATTTGACTTTTTCATGAGCCAATAGAGTAAAACATTGCTCTATTCGGACGAATCTTAAATTGGCCCAAAACTTTTTTCACTTGACTCTTGTCATCTCATCTCACGAAGTTTGTTTCCATTGTTCTTTTTCTCACAGTGATACATTTCCGCCTCATTTCCCGCGCGTCTAGCAACCCATTCGATAATCCGATGATTGGGTACAGCCCTTCTTCTTCTCCCCAGGCAACGCAACGGGGCAGAGTATGAGCCGTCAAGACCGTCCATCAACCCCTGAACCCTTCGTCTTCAATAGTGCAAGCGGGACCGCAAAAAAAGAGCGGGAAAAAAAGAAAGAAAAGAAGGATCCAGGAACGACATCATCGTCATCCTTACGGGGCCAGCCAGTGGTGGTGGGGTGAACAAGAATGATCCACGTTTTGCAGGTACGGAGTACGAATTGCTCTGTACCTCCTTACCCATGGGTTTTTTCCTTCCCTTTTTCGTACTCTGCTGTTCTGCCCGGGACAATATCCCTGTTTGCGCTGCGTGTCGTGTGCCTCGTTGCTGCGTGCCCCTGACGGGGAAGAACCCTCTTGTCGTTTCTTCTTCTGCTGCGACTCGGGCGTTTTTTTTTTCCCCTGATGTGATTTTTATTCGTCACCCGGGAGAGACGAGGAGCAGTACCCAATTTTAAGAATTGCTCCACAAGCAACGCCGAGAGACACGGAGGATGGGTTTGTCTGAAGCGGCGACGAACGGAAGGGAGTCACCACAGCAGCGAAAGCCAGCAGAAAAACCGCGCATGTTAAGGATTGAGGCCAGCGGAAGGATCGTAGAGTTTAGAGACACGGAGACTTTGTCACTTTTGATGATGAGAATACGTCAGCTTCAATATGCTCTCCGTGTCGGCTTTTACCTCCAGACCGCGAAGCTTTTTCTCATTGCCCAAGAGGGGGAATGTCTTCAGGGAGTGGCCTTGTCGGAAGCTCACCTGTCAAACGTCTCTTAGCCCGAGCTTTCTCGTTTTGTTTAAACTTTTAGGGGGGAAAGGGGACCTGGGGGAATTCGGAAGAGTCCTAGCAGGCGAGATGCCGCAGTCCGGTTGGTGTTGATCTTGCCATTGCTTTGTTCCTCCCCGCAGACTTCATCTTTGTTCCTCATGTTTGATACTGTCCGTCAGCCGTCCATCTCGAAGATTGGCTTCCTCCGGGGAACAAGCGCAAAGTCCAGTGCCTACTAGGTAAGGATACTGCAGTAGACGGCGGCGGGCGGCGGGCACATCTTTCTCATCCAATCCCGCGACCTCCACATTGAAAAACAGGCCGCTTACATACTAGCCCATCGCTATTTGACCAGAGGAAAACCAAGGCCCCGCGGACCAGCAAAAGAAATAACGTGTGGGAAAATTACACCGGGAAATACAGCTGTGGTTTGCAACGTACCTACTGCGAGTTGGGGTTTACTCATTACAAAAATACAAGAGTTTCTCGTATTTCCATATGGGGACAAATTCACACCCCCTACACCGGCATCCAGTAATACACTGCTGCACTAGACTCTAGAGTGCTCACAAACAGTTTCTGAATGCGGATTGGACGTGGTCTGGAACTGGGACTTGTTCGAACCGGACCAGCTGAAGACGATGAATGGATCCTTAACGCTGGGGACGGAGCTGCTTTGTTGTTCTACGCAGTAGCTTGACCAGCTGTCAATCATCAGTGCGTATCTCCAACCTCGAAGGGCTCGCTGTCAAAAGTGTGTCTAGCCGTCTGCCAACCACCCTGGTCGATTTGTTTGCTTGATCCCAGACGTGCGCGCGTGCGTTTGATGAGATAGCCGTCCGTGTCTCTCTGCGGGTACCATCTTCTTTTTTTGCAACCCCGGAAACTATCTCACTTTTACGGAGTACCTTACACGTGTACACCATATCACACCGCGTGGCCTGGGGTTGTTGTTTAAAAAAGAGAGAGCCAAGTCAGAGGCAGTTGGACCTTATCTTTTGGGGCCATGCATGGGGTCGAAGTTTGAACGGAGGGGCGTGTGCGTCCATCATGTTCATCTTTCCCACTTGGGATCTCAGGTGAAGTGAAGAGCATGAGAAGCAGATGAAGGAGTGAGAGAAAGAGAGGTACAGAGAAACAGAGACGGGACGGGAGAGAGATAGAGGAACCATGATCTGCTAGACATGGCTAACACTTCTCCGTCCCCTGGTGCCGCCATGTTCCTTGTTCCTTGAATTGGGTGGTTCCAGACCTAGGAAACATCCTGTTCGCTGCCCAGTACTCCGTAGTCCATCCACCCTTGAACCTGCCCGGCGAGCGCGCGAGTGCGCTATCTTTTGCCTTGCTGTATCCGTCCCCGTTCAGAGTTCCCCATCCCATCCCCAGTCCACCGCAGTGGGTGTGAGTGAGTGAGTGACTGCGCAGGTGAATATGCCCAGTGAGTGAGAAGTGTGGTGTCCATCTCATCCACACCCGCTCTTTGTGGGAATACACAGCAGTGTTTCCATTATCCATAGCATGGCCCAATATCTACACACCCTTTCCCACCCTCCCCGAATCCGTCCCATCCCATCCGTCCCCCATCGTCGTCACTCGTCCTCGGACATTGCATTGCAGCTCACTCGCAACTTACTCATCTTTCTCTCACTCTGCTCTCACTCATCCTCGCTCTCTTACATACTCTCACACTCTAATCACCTTTCTCTCTCTTGCAAAGGAGGCGCAGGTTGTAGCAGGACGATATCTTGGCTTCCTATACCCCGTCTGTGCCTTGAGTCTCTCGCAATCATTTTTCTTCGCAGTCCTCTTGTTTCTGTTTATTCGTCTCTTATTCGGCTTATACCCCCTCGGCGCAGCCACCGGTACCTTACCTTTCAACCCACCATCCATCGGCACAGCACATCAGCACTGCGACGAAAGAAACACTCGGGTTTGGAAACTTGCGGCCCTTGCACCGGCGCATTCCCGACGAACCGCCTTCTTTGGTACCGGATGCTACGACGAAGCAGCGCTCGACACTTGCAGCAGATCCTCCATGTTTCGCGCGCTACGTCACTGTCACCAGGTTCGCAGATTGAAACAAGGAGAAGAAAGGCAATAGCAGAAGCAGCAGCAACAACAACAGCAACGGCAGCGGTAATTCCACCACTGCACAACGGAACACAAGAGTTAAATTGTTGCATCACCAAATACCACCAATAACAGGGCCATATCACAGACCACACACACAGAGCAGCGAGCAAACGCCAAGAGTGAACAAGAACCCAAGCGCCACGACTTCGTCCCATCGTCGGCGCATCCAAGTGAATCCTCGATCACCGTTGAGCACCAGGTCAACAATCACTTCTTACTCCAGACGACAGTGTTGGACAAAGGTGCACCGCCCACGCAGGGACCGCGACTCGGAAACGCCATCCCATCATCGCCGCCCACCAAACGAACACACCCCAGGCTCGACGGAACCGAGAAACTCGCAAACCAAGCAGACATTGACGACGTTTTACCGTGCTTATATTCTTTTTGCTGCGCCCAAAACTCGTTTTGAGTCTCCATCACAGCAATGGCGCACGCAGCCTACGCCTCGGTGCGCAGGTCCTCGACGTCGTCCATGGGCTCAGACTTTAGCGACGCAGATGCAGCAGCAGGCGGTATGGGAATAGGAACGAGAACGAAGACAAGAGCACAGGACCGAGACTACACAAAAGACCTGGCCTCGTCGTCTTCGCAGCCGTCCGTATCCGCCACGGCAACGCCCAGTCCCGCCAACTTTCTGTCTCTTGCCGACAAGAGCTTCACGCCTCTGTCCATGGACAGCGACCTGTTTCCCGATCGCGATTTCGACTTGAGCTTTGGCGGTAGCAGCAGTAGCGCGGCAGGAGAACGCAAGACGACGAGCAGCCCAAGATTCCGCGACCAGCAGAGGTCGACGTCACCACCGCCAGCGACAGCGATGGCAGCGCATACACAGGAGACTAGGACGAGGTCGAGGTCGAGAGAAGCATATTCAGGATTAAGCTTACAAGAAGAGACACTACTATCCCAT